CCTATGTAGTGGATCAGTCATTCTGGAAGGATATGTGCAGAATAACCTCTTATGGGATGAGTTCTAGTTTGAAGGTCCAAATCTGAATTCCTACCAGGAAAACTTCCTCTTAATTTTAACTGGAAGTTAGCTTGCCTAAAGACTCAGGATATGCCCCTTCATTCGTTGATATAGGTTAGACCTCCCTGGTCCAGCACCCTTGGGACCTGACCAGTCACAAATGAGGGATTTGCTGGACCACGGGAGGTTCCCTGCCAGCTACTCCCCAGACTGCTGCTGGCCTCAGCTGGTCACCCTCCTGACAGTTCCAGCCAGGCTGCCTGCTGCTGGCTCCGGCTCCCCTTCTGGGCTGCTGTGACCCCACCCCTGCTGTTGGCCTGCCCCATGTTACACTGTCGCAGCCCAGTTTTGCTGTTCAAACCTGTCCCTGTTTTGTTAAAGAAATTGTACATGTACCAGATCAGAGACAGGAAATTAGGGTTGCCAACTCTTGAGGATTGTCCTGGAGTTTCCAGGAATTAAAGATTAATCTCTAATTAAAGATTATGTCATGTGATGAAAGATGCAGGAATAAATCCAACCAAAATTGGCAACCCTACAGGAAATGCTACTAGTGCAAGCCACAGAGTGGGGATGTATCAACCCCCTTGCTGAACAAAAAGGGCTTAAAATTAGGAAAACAGCATATGAGTTTGCTGCAAGAAAGTGCTCTTAAATGGCTTTCCAGCTATTCTCAGTATGAGGCTACTCAGACCAATTACAGAAAACCCGCAGCCTTGTTCCACTTGCCTTTCGGCAAGCTGGTGTCTGAATCTGATGACTTTCCTGTTTAGCTGCAATCTATTCCCGTTGGACCCCTCGTGGTGTTTTCAGCACCCACACTCTCTAAGCCATCCAAGCACATTTCCAAGGGCTCCATCACAGTGGTGTTTAAGATCAGAGGGGCTTTTCCTAGAGGCTAGGCCTACACTACAGAGTTTTTGCACAAAAACTTACAGAACGTCCACACCTCAAGCTCGTTTTTCCACAAGTAAAATGAAAAAACAGAGGGGTTTTTCCAGTGTAGGTATTCATCTTTCTATGAGAAATAACTCCTTTTTGCTCGAGAGTTCTTGCTCAAAAAGATGTGTGTGGATGGGCAACAGGGGTTTTTTGCATAAAAACAGGAAAAAGGAAAAAGCACAGGTGCCCTGATGGCCATTCTGGGGATAACTATCAGCGCTTTCTTTCGAGAGAGCATCCTTGCAGTGTGGACGCTCTCTTGCACAAAAGCACATTGCTTTTTTGATGCGCCTTTGCAGTGTGGACGCTCTTTTGTGCAAGAAGTTTCTGTGGAAGATCTCTTCCGCAAAAAGCTTCTTGTGCAAGAAGCCAGTAGTGTAGACGTAGCCAGAGCCAATGACAGTTTTACAGAAAGACAACTTGGCACTTGTAGACAGAATAAAAGACCCCAGGAGGGGAAGCCTCTCTCTGCTTTCTGAAGGTGGGGGTGATTCAGAAGACTTTGCAATGCTCAACTCAAGTTTAATTGCTCCCATTGCCACCTGCCCTGATCTAGGGCTCATATATTGGGCAATGACAAATCTTGGGGCTGAAGAATAAGCACTGAAGCTGTTTTATTAGTGATTTAGACCTTAGATTAGACTAACATTTTTTGGGGGGCAGAGGGTGTCTGTTAATGCCCTGCCAACAGCCAGATCCTCAGCTGGAGTAAATTGGCATTGCTCTATTGAAATCAATGGAGCTAAGGCTCTGGCCCATGGTGTTCACATTTGTTTTTGACACTGAGTGACTGTGCTGTGGAATTTTCCTGACAGCTCAGTCTCTTATAATCTTGCAGAACATCCCATGTACTGGCTTTGTTCAAAAACACCTTACAAATTAGAAGATTTAAAGCCGAATTCCATTCCACAGGCTAGGCTCAGATCCCTAGTCATTTGAGTGGGTCTGTCAGTGATATACGGGTGGAGGATTTGGTTTCTCTTCCCAAATTAAGGGCCCTGTTGTATCACCCCCCCAAAAAAAAAATTATGCAGAGCTCACCAGTGATGTCAGTGGGGAGTTCTGCATGTTCTAGAAATTTTTATATATACAAATCTGTAGCACTTTGCTGACAAAGAAAAAGTTATAATATATATACCAATCTCGCTGACAGGCGGGGAAGAAGGGGTTATGCCCTGGAGGCCCAACAATTCAAAATGGCCCAGAGCCTCGACCCTTGAAATCACTGTTGGAGCACCTCATGGCACACTCTAGGCAGCACTTACAGCTGGGCAAGGCAATGCCCAACCCTGCCCCTTCCAACCAAGGCCCTGCCCCTTCCCAGAGTGTAGCGCTTCCTCCACCTCCACCTTACCCAGGGGCTTGGAGAAGCTGTCGGCTCCACTGATACATACGTATAGGGTTGCCAGATGGTTTAACAAAAAATACTGAACATTCCACTCCCCCCACCCCCCAAAAAAAATCTGAGGAGAAAAACTAAGGGGGGAGACCAGAGTTGTTGAGCAAAAAAAAAAAAAAGAAAGGCACTGTGCCTTTAAATGGCCCCTCACTCCCCCACCCCCGCCAAACACGGCAGGGGAAAATTGTCCCTGCCAGGCTTCCATCCAAGGGAAACAGGAAATACCGGACAGTTCACATGTCTGGCATTTTCTGTTTTTTTTACTGGATGGGGGACCCAAATAATGGACAGTCCGGGTGGAAACCAGACACCTGGCAACCCTATACACATATGGACACAATACACGATTGTTCCACTTTTTGGTAGCAAAGCGCCACTACATTTATAATATAATTTATATATATATACAAATCAGTGACATCTTGTTGCCCAAAAAGTGGAACAACTGTTTTTTGTGTGAGACAGACATGCGGTGGGTCAGTTTTTTTGCCCTGTAGCTCTGCTTCTGGGTTGGAGTGTTATCCCTGCATAACGTCCCTCCTCCACACAGCAGGAAGATTCCAGTTTCACATTTTCTCCTTTCAGAGTCCTATCCCAGACGTCTTAAGTCCCCGCAAGGGATAGATGGGGTAAGCCACCAAAGGTCACTTCCAGAGCAGGGGCACAGACTCCTTACCAGGATGACCCTGGCTTCTATGATCTTTGGGGAGGAGGTTGCTTTTTTTCCATGGGAGATGGGAGTGGAGCAAACCCTGTTCCTTTGAGGTGGTGATGAGGTAATCTACAGAAGAGAATCCTCACAGCTTTTAGGAAGGAAAAGCCTGATGCTTAAATTGCAGTAAAGCCCATTCAAAAAGGGTTTGGTGCTGGCCAAACTCTGGCAATTCTTGTTCTGTAGATGCAGCAGATAGAACTATATAGTAAACTGTCTCCTCAGCTTCTTCCATAGCCAGACTAAAGAGCAACCTCTGTTGTCTGCCCCAGTCGTTGAATGAAATCTTCCAGCAGGCTGCTAGGTGAATTATAGAACAGAGCAAGAGTCAGCCAGCCCCGCAGGAGGCCTATAAAATGAATGCAGCCCAGCACCTAGCCAGTTAGATGGATCTATGTAAGCTAGGGTTTCAGGTGTTTTCATTAGAAGGCATATCGTTTATTCATAGTGGGCCAAATCCTGGCGATTCATAGGTCTTACTCAGGCAAACTGCCAGGGGCTCCAGCCAGAGTTTTGCCTGAGTAAAGAGTGAATAAACATCCAGAGAAAGTCTTTAGGATTTAGCTGAGTGTTCACACATTCCCTAAGCCAGTAACATCCGTGGTTATGGGAAATGAGGTAAGTGACAGAGTTACTGTCCTTATGGCAGGCGACAGGAGAGGCTCACTTTCCCATGTTGTAATTCCCTGCTCCAGCGGCTGCCTCAACAATAGATTAAAACCAGGGAGGACAAAGAGCTCTCAGACAGAGTGGAAGATTTCATCTGGGAGCTGATTGGGTTGAGAGGGATCTCCAGCTGATCTGCACATGCAGCAGTTGAGCTGAGAGGTATGCCAGTTTATTGGGCCTGCAGTGATCATCCTGGATCAGAACAGAGGCTCCGTCCAGACGGGTGGGAACAACCGGGTTTCACACTCTCCTAAAGCCAGCTTCCGGACTGAGCGCCGGAGCAACCCACAGTATTGTGCACAGAGGCACGCTAAGATGCAGCAATGCAATGTGCTTTTAAGATGATCATGATTTGTAAATCGTCTCTTCTCTGTGCTGTTGATGCATTCAGCAAGCCTGCTGCTGTCTAACCTAATCAGGATGCAGTGAATGAGTGATGGGTACAGGGAACACTTAAGTTGTGCACCAACATCTGTCAGGCAAAATGACTAAATCTGTTGCGTAATGGAAGCAATGGCCCGGAACTGGCTACATTTCAGTTGTGATGAAAGCAATTGCTGTAGGAGGCTATGTCTACACTGTGGGGGTTTTTTCCAGAAAAAGATAGGCAAATTGCAAACCGCAATTTGCGTACCTTTTTTCTCTTGTTTTTTTGGAAGAGGCTTTTCTGACATTTGGCCCATCTACACGGGGCCAAATGTGGGAAAAACCTCCTTTTTTGTAAGATCCCTTATTCCTCATGAAATGAGGAATACAGAGATTCCGAAAGAACATGCCCATTTTTTCAGAAACTGTTCCAGAAAAGCAGACTGTTCCCTGGACGCGGCAGAGTTTTTTCGGGATACCTCTATCCCGGAAAAACTCTGCAGTCTAGACATTCCCTAAGTGGCACATTAGGATCCTTTGAAGTGAAAGACACTGCCTTAAAATTTGTCATTCCTGTTATTCATCTGTATTTGTAATTTCCTCCATATTGTTACTTTAACTAAAATGTGCCATCCTGAAAGAATTAAATTCACAAGAAAGATGTAAGGATTTAGCTTCCTGGGACGAGCAGGTTAAAATTAGTCCTAAACTGAGAAAAAAATACAAAAGTACAACAAAAACATGCAGTAAAATGTCCCTTATAACACTTCATAGTTTAAACACAGCTGTGCAAAGTTCTTTGGCAATGCGCTATGTATCTTAGAGAGAGAATATTGTGTCATTATTAGCGGCATGGGTAAGTACATTTTAATGAACTCTAAAGTCAGTCATGCAACGGGCAGAGTCTGAGCCAACTTGTGGGCATTTTTAAAGAACTTGTGTTGCTCCCATCTCAAAATAATACTGTTGCTTGTTGGGCTTTTGAGACTTCAGAGTACAGAGATTGCTTTGTTCTCCGAATTTATCTGATCAAGAGCCATAAAGAAATGAGCTTTTTTTTTTACTACAGCAGCTTTCTCACTGTTTCATCTGAACTCACAAGGGAATAATAAATGCATGCGCGGGTAATGTTGGGGATCATGAAATAGCCGTGAAAAGCTGGATACTCCCAGGGCTTCTCAAGTAGTCTCTGTAAGGAGAATCACTACACTTGAAACAAGTGGCTCTATCTGCAGTTCTTGGACAGGAGAAACAATCCCTTTCTGGCAGAGTGACAAGACTGAAGTCCCCTGATCTGAAACTTAGCAAAAGGACTAAAATAGTGAACCAGAAAAGCTTATTGACAAGAAATTCCTAAAACAGGCAAGTCCCATTTGGCCTTAAAAAAACCCTTCAGTCAAATGAATACATTTAACTGAAAAGTGCAGGAGCGACTGCATCCATGTTCTGAAAGCATCTGTCTTATTTTAAGCCTATGCGTCTGGAAAACAGCTATGGGAGGTACCTGGATCCGAAGCTCAAGAGCACAGCCCTGGAAAACTGCACTGGGAATCAGAGTGCCAGTACCAACTGCGCCACCTACAGGACAGCGCTCAAATTTCAGCTCTTCTGCCTCCCAGCCTGGAAGGTCATTGGACTTCTACAGGGTAAGGAACCCTGAAACTCAGAGGAGTTTGCAGATTTGTTTTGCCTCCTCGCTAGACTCTGCTGATGGGGCAAGGTCACCTTACTAAATAGCATCATGATGGTGCACGGATGGGCACACACTGTGTTAAGCTGTAGAGTGCGGGTGCTGTGGGTGGTTTTCCTATGGGCAAAAGGTCATGTATTGTTCGTGGCTGGAAAAACGCCCCAAATTAAAGAGGCAATAATCCTTTAATTTTGGGGTGATTCAATATGTACCATTTGCAGCTGGCTTTTTAATTTGGCAAAGGGCTGAATCAAAATCCATGATAGCAAAACTATGATCAGTTTGGAGTGTGCTCTAAAAGCCAGATCCAAATACTCTCTCTAGAACTTCCTCCTTCCCTCTCATAGTTTGCCATGTCTGCCATACCCCAGCTGCAGATGTTGCCCCCTTTCAATGCCCTAAGGGCTGAGAGAACACACCATTACACAGAACTAGGTTTGAAAACACTGAAGCACTGCTTTAAAGCATCCTGTTGCTTACACATCGTTTTACAAATTCTTTATGTGAACAGACTTGGGCAAAGTCACGGCTCTGATTACTTGTGAGGAGCTATTGCTCGTTGACACCTTCTATTGTACACAAGGAAACAGACACCAGTATACCTCTCATGATGAGCAGGAGATGAACAGAGAAATTCATGACTGATAAACTCACAGGGGCAGTAAAAAGGAAGGAAAATAAGGGATTTTCAATTTAAGTTCTCTCAGGAAGCATGTTAGTTTTACCTCACAAAAATTCCACTAGCAACCACTTCATGAAAAATAAACACCCACTTTCAGGGCAAAGGGACTTCTAACTGATATTACCACTCCTAAATCCTAGCCTATGCCAAATTTCTAAATTAAGTGTCTGAGGGCTGAGTTCTGGGGATTAGCATAAACTCATGAATTAAATTAATCTCCCAGGCCAGAACAAGCAGGTGAGCTGCAGCAAATTTCCACATCCAGCCTAAAGTAAGTAACTGAACTAGATGATAACCCCAACCCAAACTTCTTACACCTAGAACAGGCTTGTAAATGGAGTGAGCTCCTAAATTGGAGTAAGAGTCATAGCCTGAGACACCAACTCTAGAGTCTTTTAGCCCCACACTGATTGGTTTTGGCTAATCAGTCCCCTCCATATGTCCCTAAACGGAGTCTCACAGGCAGCAGTAATCCTCATCCTCTTCCTGCATACTACCCCAAAGTCAAAAGGCCAAAATGTCTCTGTTTTTCTAACAAGGGCAATGAAAAGGAGAAGCATCTGTCCCTCCAGCTGGCTGTAGTGTTTTCAGTATCGCCAACCCCAAGGCTGCGTCTAGACTGGCAAGTTATTCCACAAGGAAAAACTTGCCAGCTGTCTACACTGACCGCTTGAATTTCCGCAAGAACACTGACTTCCTACTGTCTGTGCTTCTTGTGGAAATCAGTGCTTCTTGTGGAAATACTATGCTGCTCCCGTTCGGGAAAAAGTCCTTTTGCACAAAGCTTTTGCACAAAAGGGCCAGTGTAGACAGCTCAGATTTGTTTTGCACAAAAAAGCCCTGATCGCAAAAATGGCGATTGGGGCTTTTTTGCGGAAAAGCGCGTCTAGATTGGCACGGACGCTTTTCTGCAAAAGGTGCTTTTGTGGAAAAGTATCTGTGCCAATCTAGACACTCTTTTCCACAAATGCTTTTAACGGAAAAGTTTTCCGTTAAAAGCATTTGCGGAAAATCATGCCAGTCTAGACGTAGCCCAAGTGTTCAAAAAGCAGGAGTCACGTTCCAACCAAGCATAAGAGTCTCAATCATACCAAAGGCTTTCTTTTATATGCCTTTTGATATTTAAGCCTTTAAGTGTCGTGTTTTCAACCTTTTCTCAGCAGCCATAGACCAAGGGTGCCACTTAGGGGGAGCTAGGGCCAGCAGCCCCCACTAAAGTTTGAACCTCTAGATTTCATACTTGCGGTCTGCTTAAAGCTGCCTGCCCTGGCTCCAGAGGCAGGTTTTAAATGTAACAGAGTTTGAACTGCTTGCAGCTTTACCTTTGGGGCAGAGAGATTGTTATAAAAAGAGGAAGGTGGGTGATTAAGAAGAACAAAAGGCTTTGTTATGCAAGTAATCAAAGAATTCAAGTATTCAAGAATTCTTAGAGCATCATGAAAACATTGCCAGGCACTCCACTGAAAAGATAGGAATAAAAGACCTCTATTTGGACCACTGCTGTTAAACGTCTCATAAATGTTCTTGGAAAGGGGTAAACAGTGAGGTGGCAAAATTTGAAGATACTACAAAATTACTCAGACTAGGGGACAGGTGGAGTGGGCTGACGATTAGCCAGAACCAAAGCTGATTGCAGAGAGTTACAAAGGAATCTCACAAAACTGGGTGATTGGGCAACACAAGGGCAGATGGGATTCGGTACTGATAAATGCAAAGTAATGCACATGGAAAAATGTAATCCCAACTATACATACAAAAATGATGGGGGCTAAAATCTCTGATACCACTCAAGAAAGAGGTCTTGGAATCCTTGTGGATAGTTGCCTGAAAACATCTGTTCAATGTGCAGTAGCAGTCTAAAAATTAAAAAGCTAACAAAATATTGGGAATCATTAGGAAAGGAATAGATAAGACAGAAGATACCATATTGCCTTTATATAAAGTCATTATATGCCCACATTTTGAATACTGCATGCAGGTCTGGTCACCCCATCTAAAAAAAGATGTATTGGATTTGGAAAAGGTACAGAAAGGGCAACAGAATAATTAGGGGTAAGGAACAGCTTCCACATGAGGAGAGGTTAACAAGACTGGGACTTTTTAGCTTGGAAAATAATTGGCGTAGAAAAATAGAATAAGGAAATGTTATTTAGGCCTTCATTAACATAACACAAGAAGTTCACACAAATACATTTATGGGCAATAGATTTAAAACAAAAATAATTTCTTCACAGTCTACCTGTGGAACTCGTTGCCAGGAGATGGTGGAAAGGCCCTAATCATATCAGGGTTCCAATATGATCAAAAAAAGTTCAAGGAAGATAGGTCCAATATCAATGGCTACTAGCCAGAATGGGAAGGGATGGTGTCCCTAGCCTCAGTTTGCCAGAAACTGGGAATGGGCAACAGGAGATGGATCATTTGATGATTGCCTCTTTGCTTCATGCCTTCTGAAGCACCTGGCATTGGCCACTGTTGGAAGACAGGATACTGGGCTAGATAGACCACTGGTCTGATCCAGTCTGGCCATTCTGATCTTATATAGAGCCCAAATGTCCCTGCCCCTGCTGTAACCTACTAGACCTCACTCCACTTCCAGAGCTGAGATAGAGCCCAAGAGTCCTAATAGTGTCAATCTCTCCCCTTGCAAAGTTAGTAACAAAGTAAGAATAGACATTAAAATGTTAGGCTACGTCTACATTGCGCATTCTTGTGCAAGAAGATATGCAAATAAGATGTGGCAATGAATATTGCCGTGCCTCATTTGCATACCTAATGAGCCACCGTTTTGCACAAGAACTATTCTGCCTGAAAATAAGCAGCAGAACGGCTCTTGCACAAGAGGGGGGTTTTGCGCAAGAAGGAGCAGTATAGACTGCTCCTTCTTGTGCAAAAGCCCCTTGCGCAAAAGCGGCTGATAATTAATTATGCAAATGAGGCACAGCAATATTCATCGCCATACCTCATTTGCATATCTTCTTGCACAAGAATGCGTAATATAGACATAGCCTTAAGGTTAGTGTCCCTTCAGTGACTTGCCAAAAGATAACAGAACGTGTTAATATTAGAGCTGAGCAGCTCTAATATTTATTTCATTTTCTTTCATATGGGAATTAGATACAGTGCTCTTGTCAGCTAACTGCTAAGTTATCTGCCAAAAGACTAGTGTTTTCTAGTGCCTTAGTAGTAGGGTTGCCAAGTGTCCAGTTTGAACCGGACAGTCCAGTATTTGAGCTTTCTCTTTGGAAACAAATTGCAAAAATATGAGAAAATAGACATGTCCAGTATTTTCTAAATAAGATGTAATGTAGATTGTGATGTAATGTCAAGTGTGTCCAGTATTTTTGTTGAAACCATCTGGCAACCCTATTTAGTAGCCCTAGAAAGAGGTGGTATGTGTGTGTGAGGGAGGTGGAATGGGATCTCTCCCCCCTATTTGCTACTTGACTTGTACTGAGTCTGCCCAGTAACACTGCTGAAGCTGCTGTCTGCCCTCCCCCCTCCATGGTCTCACTTTCCCCCTCCATCATGATATGCACAGGTTGCCCCCCTCAACCAAAATCTGAAATGGTGCCTCTCAGCTGGACACTTGAAAGGGGGGGGGGGGGGGGGTCTTTCAGTCACATGATGATGAGAGCCAGGGGCTGGAAGAATAACCCCAGATGTCCTGGTAACATCATGAAAGGCTGACCCCAGTGGACGTTCCTATCTTTAGATGGGACTCAGAAAGGAACTTTCATACAGGCAGCCTATGTGAATAGACAACCCTATTCACAAATCTCCCCACTGAACCTCCACTGTTGCTGTGGTGGACTGCTCCCTCACAGGACCTTATGGTGATGGGTGTTAGGGAGACCCACTGTGTTCACTCATTGGCAAGTCTCTGCCATTCACCATGATACTCCATTGCCCCATTTCTCTGTGCCACCTAGCAGAGGAAACGCAACTTGATCGTTTGACAAGCCATTTGTTCAATGCCACTTGAGTGAGGGTAATTAAGATTCTCCCCACCCTTTCGTCTTTTGGCAGCTGTGCCCAGGGGATTATGGGGTTCTTCTGCGCAAAGAAACTCTGCTCTGTTGGTTTGTGGGTGTATTGTTTTAACACGGTGCCTCTTTGCTGCGGATGCAGTGAAATGAAATCACCACTGCAGGAATAATTGTGTCCTTGGAATGCCGGGGGGCCGACAGGATTGCTAGGCCCATGGGCAATGCTGGGGGTGAAGCCTCAGGCAGAAGGGGCAGATCTGGGGCACCCTCTGTGAGCGGCCTGGAGCACACCATGTGGGGCTCTGGAGCGCATAGCGTGGCACTTCAGTGGTGATTCAAAGGGCCTGGGGCTGCTGCCAGATTAGCTGAGAGCCCTGGGACACAAGGCAACTGTCACTTTTGCCTCCCCCTGTCGACAGGCCTGGTGAGGTGAGACGGGGGAAGGCCCTCGCTGTCAATGGGGAAGGGAGCAGAGCAACAGTGAGGCCTCTCTCATCATGGGGACAAAAGAGGCAAATGCCCCGTTAATTTCTCTGTACAGACTCAGGCTAGAATTCAATCCCCAGCTCTTCCACTCAGTACGTGACTAAGGACTCTTCTTCTTGTCTCCTCTTGGCTCTTAGATGTGAGGTACGCCCAGGACCGGAGTTCCTCACCAGATCCTATCTGTTTTACTCCAACCGCCTGTTCAAGGCCTATCAGTTCTACTACTGGGACCCCTCCTGCCGCGATCCCTCCCACTCCCTGGTGATCAAAGGCAAGCTCAGACTGCGCCAGGCCTCCTGGATCACCCGAGGGGCCACAGAGGCAGACTACCACCTGCACAAAGTGGGCATTGTTTTCCACAGCCAGAGGGCCATGCAGGAGATCTCTGCCCGGATCAATCAGTCATCAGGAGGGAGCTGCAGTGGATTCTTTCCACCTGGACGGTCCTGGGCTCCTGGAGTCCTCTATGAGGTGCTGAGTGCCAAGGAGGGGCGAGATTGCACTGCAGCCCTGGGCTTTGCTATGCATGAACTCAGCCTGGTGCGGGTGGAGACGTATTATGAGCCCCTCCTGGAAACTCAGTCGAGTGGCCGTAGGGCAGTGGAGGAGCTGTATCTAGGAGACATTCACACCAAGTGGTCGGAGAGGCTCCATTATCGACCGACAGGGTATCAACGCCCGTTGCAGAATGCTCTGGTAAGAACATCACTTACTCCTGGGCCACATTAAAAATGGAAACCCAGCTCCCTTGTGCCCCCTGTTTTTCAATGCCCCTCTGTCTGCAGCCTGTCTAAAGAGAGGGTCTTAAATTATTTATCCCACCTACTGTAATCACCTCAGTATTGTAACAATATAGAGTTGGTGGGCAAAACTGCATCTTGTGCAAGGTGCTGGTTGGAGAACCAGCTACAAATCTAGGTGCTCCGTGCATCTGGCTCTTCCCCTTACTGAGCATGTGGCCTTGAAGCTATCCTGGACTAAGCAGTAAAAGAAACATAATATAGGGAATGGTCCTTCACTGGCAGGGGACACAGAGCTAATAGATTTTCTTTAGCTGCTGTGTTTTCACTAGAAATGCAGACTCAGATCCTGTACTGAGGTTAAGTCCCACATCATTATAAACGCTGCACTGTTATTTGTCTTGAGTCCCTCATCTTATTTCTCTGCCCTGTCCTTCAGGTTGAAAGAGGAATGAGGAAACAACCATGTGCCATTAAATCATTATTCACAATATAATGCCATTAGAAGGGGAAATTGCCCTGAATACAATTGTGTTATCCTACAGAAATCACTTTACTTCAACATAAATAATATTATACAGCAGATGTGATTTATTTTTATTTTTTGCCAGTAGGCTGGTTTATTCCCAGAAAAAAAATGTATTATTTATCTAAATCATAGCTAATCAAGTCCAAAATGTGATTGAGCAGCAAGGCAGGCCAGAAAAGTCTCTTATGAACATTACAAGCTAGAACAGGATTAACTCATGAAATGCTTCATTTACTGGAAGTTTTCTACCCTTGTGATATTACAACAACTGGAATTTAAGGCTACGTCTACACTGTAGCCTTCTTCCGCAAAAGCTTATGCAAATGAAGCGTGGAGTAGAATATCACCATGCTTCATTTGCATAATTAATTAGTACCTGCTTTTGCGCAAGAGGCTTTTATGCAAAAAGGAGCTGTGTAGAAGGCTCCTTGAGGAAGAACGGCTCTTGCGCAAGAGGGGGTTTTTGCGCAAAGAGGAGCCATCTACACAGCTCCTTTTTGTGCAAAAGCCTCTTGCGCAAAAGCGGCTGATAATTAATTATGCAAATGAAGCATGGTGATATTCCACTCCACACTTCATTTGCATAAGCTTTTGTGGAAGAATGCTACAGTGTAGATGTAGTAAGAGAGAAAAAGTAAAACACAAAATGGCAAACCTCCAAGTAACATGCTTGCATTGGTCTAAAGCTGGGTATTATTTTGGGCCAAAGCCATGCACATGAGCTAAACCAGCTGGTAAACAAATATCTTTAAACATTAACTTAAACCCAACCCGAAGATACTGACTTTCACTCTATAAATATAGTGCTGTAATTAATCAACAAACAGCCCTGTAAAGCTCCCCAGCAGATGGTATCATCACTTGAGGATAATTAGAAGCTGCCATACATTAGAAATAACTTCATGTGGCTGAAACAAGTAAGTGTTGGTTTCGCAATATTAATTTTGTTGGACACAGCCTTCTCTTCTAATGAACTAATGTGCAACATTAGCCATCACTAATAATTTACTCACCTTCACTGATGTCGACCTACAGCTGTCAAACCAGGTCCAGGAGATGCCTTAGGTGGGTGCTCATCATGTGCCAATCCTATACCTGACACTTTACTACTACCCACTAGAATCAGGACTCCTCAAAGCTTTATTCAGCTGGAAGTCACTTCCTTAAGCCCCGATTGGTGACCTGATTGGCTTGTTCCCTGCTATTTAAGACAGAGGAAGGAGCAGGAAATCTGTACAAGTGGGGTAGAGCTTGATTTGAAGTGCTCACTCGGTACTTTACTCCTAGCTTCAGTTCCTGACCACCTGGTTTCCTGACTTGGGATTAATCATAGAATCACAGAACTGGAAGAGACCTCAGAAGGTCGTCAAGTCCAGCCCCCTGCTCTAGGCAGGACCAATCCCAACTAAATCAACCCGGCCAGGGCTTTGTCAAGCCGAGATTCCAAACCTTTGGCTTGACCTGCACTCCTGGTTTCTGGTCTCCGATTCTTGGTTTATCATCTGAACTCCTAGTTCTGAACCCTGGCTTACACTAACGAGTAGATATGGCTACCTACCTCCTGGTCCTGACAGCTAGGAGCCATTTTTTAAGCTGCTGGAGGAAATACTACTTTTACTTCCTTAAATCTATAACTGTTTTAAAGAACCCCCCCCCCCTTCCCAAATTACCTCCCATTATCAAAGAATTTCCTGTCTACAGAGAATATATATATAATTTGCCAACTTCTGGGATTATTTAGCAATAACGTACTGTGTACTGTCAGCACTCATTAGCGTGACAGTAGCAGTAAAGCAAGCTGAAAATGACTAAATTGCAGTAGACTCCAATCAGCATGCATGTAAATTACCCACCCTACTGTTAACTACTGAGTTATTCAGTGTTGTTCCATGCAAACAGTTCAGGAAAGATTAGCTAGAATTTTAGAAAATGATCAAAGGTCAGAATACTTAACTCTTGGAAAAGTCACCATGTGGTGACACTTTCCCTATATTTCATTTGGGAAAGGTTTCAAGTTTGCCCAAAGCTCTTACAGACTTAGATTGGATATAGGATTGGTTTGACAGAGAGCTTTGGGCAATGCTCAGACATCATGGGGCCCCTTAAAAATTAAATGCCTGCTGGCTGGGTCCATGTTTTTCATAGCGTTTTGTGCTAAAAGGTGTTTTTATACTAGGTTTCATGGACTTTTCTAGGAGCGGGCAGCACTGTTTCTTAGTCCTTTGCCTGAGAGGCTCAGCAGTGGGTTGGTTTTTATGGCTATATGTGACTGGATATAAAAATCTGCCAGTCTATTTGACAGTTCCCAGCATTACCAGAGGCTGCCTGAATAACCCTAATTGACAGCATTTTCTTCAGGCCTTTTGTGCCAGATACATGGTAATGGGAAGGAGGGGGAAAGTTATGATAGCAAAGCCTCAACCTTTGTGCCCAAATCCTAGCCTCTCGAATAGTCACAGAAATCTTGCTGTGAAAACTCTGGCTATGTCTACACCACAGAGCTTTTTCAGAAAAACGGCATGGAGTGTCCTTACCTCAAGTGCGTTTTTGTGCCAAAAAAAAAAAAATATCGAAAGAACATAGGGGTTTTTCCGGTGTAGGTATTCCTCATTCTACGAGGAAGAATGCCTTTTTGCAAAAGAGAAAGAGGGGTTTTTTTGCACGGAAAAAGGAAACCGGTGCCCTGGTGGCCATTCTTTGCATAGCAATCAGAGCTTACTTTCAAGAGCATGTCCATGCAGTCTGGACGCTCTCTTGCGCAAGAAGTTTTTACAGAAGATCTCTTGCGCAAGAAGCCTGCAGCGTAGACATATGCTCTGCTTTCTTTTCACAGAGGCTACCAAAAGTGCAGCTCTTGTCCTGCTAGCAGCAGTCCTCTTGGACCAACCACTGTCCTACGTTGGCGAGGTGGCACCTTATAGACTAACTGAAGTGTTGGAGCATAAGCTTTCATGGGCAAAGACCCACTTCGTCAGATGCATGTAGTGGAAATTTCCAGAGGCAGGTATAAATATGCAGGCCAGGATCAGGCTGGAGATGACGAGGTGGATCCAATCAAGGAGGATGAGGCCCACTTCTAGTAGCTGATCTGGTGGTGTGAATTCCAAGAGAGGAGAAGCTGCTTTTGTAGTTAGCAAGCCATTCACAATCCTTGTTTAATCCTGAGTTGATTGTGTCAAACTTGAAGATGAACTGTAGCTCAGCAGTTTCTCTTTGAAGTCTGGTCCTGAAGTATTTTTGCTGCAGGATGGCGACCTTTAAATCTGCAATTGTCCAGGGAGATTGAAGTGTTCCCCTACAGGTTTTTGTATGTTGCCATTCCTAATATCAGATTTGTGTCCATTGATTCTTTTACGTAGGGACTGTCCAGTTTGGCCGATGTATATAGCAGTGGGGAGTTGTTGGCACATGATGGCATATATTACGTTGGTGGATGTGCAGGAGAATGTACCAGTGACAGTATGGCTGATCTGGTTAGGTCCTGTGATGGTGTTGCTGGTGTATATATGTGGGCAGAGTTGGCACCGAGGTTTGTTGCAAGGATTGGTTCCTGAGTTCGAGTTACTGTGGTGCGGTGTCTAGTTGCTGGTGAGAATATGCTTCAGGTTGGCGGGTTGTCTGTGGGCAAGGACCGGCCTACCTCCCAAGGCCTGTGAGAGCGAGGGATCATTGTCCAGGATGGGTTGTAGATCACTAATGATGCGTTGGAGAGGTTTTAGCTGGGGACTGTAGGTGATGGCCAGTGGTGTTCTGTTGGTTTCTTTCTTGGGCTTGTCCCGTAGCAGGAGGCTTCTGGGTACACGTCTGGCTCTGTCAATCTGTCTCCTCACTTCCTCGTGTGGGTATCGCAGTTTACAGAATGCTTGTTGAAGGTCTTGTAGGTGTAGGTCTCTGTCTGAGGGGTTGGAGCATATGCGGTTGTACCTCAGTGCTTGGCTGTAAACAATGGATCGTGTGGTGTGTCCGGGATGGAAACTGGAGGCATGCAGGTAAGTATAGCGGTCGGTAGGTTTTCTGTATAGGGTGGTATTGATATGACCGTCACTTATTTGTATCGTGGTGTCCAGGAAATGGACCTCCCGTGTAGATTGGTCCATGCTGAGGTTGATGGTGGGGTGGAAGCTGTTGAAATCATGGTGAAATTCTTCCAGAGTCTCCTTCCCATGGGTCCAGATGATGAAGATGTCATCGATGTAGCGTAGGTAGAGAAGGGGTGTAAGTGGACGAGAGCTGAGGAAGCGTTGTTCCAGGTCAGCCATAAAAATGTTGGCGTATTGTGGGGCCATGCGGGTGCCCATAGCAGTGCCACTGGTCTGGAGGTATATGTTGTCACCAAATCTGAAATAGTTGTGTGTGAGGATAAATTCACAGAGTTCAGCCACCAGTTGTGCTGTGGCATCATCAGGAATACTGTTCCTGACAGCTTGTACTCCATCTGCATGTGGGATGTTTGTGTAGAGAGCCTCTACATCCATGGTGGCTAGGATGGTGTTTTCTGGAAGATCACCTATGCATTGTAGTTTTCTCAGGAAATCCGTAGTGTCACGAAGGTAACTGGGAGTGCTGGTGGCGTAGGGTCTGAGCAGAGAGTCCACATAGCCAGACAGTCCTTCAGTAAGAGTGCCAATGCCCGAGATGATGGGGCGTCCGGGATTTCCAGGTTTGTGGATCTTGGGTAATAGATAGAACAACCCTGGTCGGGGCTCTAAAGGTGTGTCGATTTGTTCCTGTGTTTGTTTGGGGAGTGTCCTGAGCAGATGGTGCAGTTTCTTAGTGTATCCCTTAGTGGGATCTGAGGAAAGAGGCCTGTAGAATTTGGTATTGGAGAGTTGTCTGGCAGCCTCCTTTAGGTAGTCAGGCCTGTTCATGATGACAACAGCACCTCCTTTGTCAGCCTCTTTGATTATAATGTCAGAGTTGTTCGGGAGGCTGTGGATGGCATTGCGTTCTGCATGACTGAGCTTACCAGGCAAGTGAAGCTGTTTTTCCACTATTTCTGCCTGTGCACGTCAGCGGAAGCATTCTATGTAGAGGTCCAGACTGTCATTTCGGCCCTCAGAAGGAGTCCATGTGGAGTTCTTCTTGTGCTGTTGGTGGGAAGGTATCTGTGTGTCAATCCTATGGTGCACACACACGGCTCTTTTCAAGATGAGCACAGTGCTCATCTCCAAAGACAGAATTTGGACCTTTCTGGTTTTCCCTAGAATAGCAGGTGACCTGGGCCTTACTTAACTGGTTGGACACATTGGGCCAAATTTATCCCTGATGCAGCCTCCTGGACTTCAGTGAAGTTGCGCCAGGGATGGAGATTGGCCTGTTGTTTAAATGCTTCAAATGGGGGCTTGCATGCAAGAGTTTTCCTTTACTTTTTATTTGTTTGCCTCCAACAGCATCACGTGCATCCTTGCCCTGCTTGTGGGATTGTATTCAGATCTGATGAACACCATCCACCTATATTACCAGCTAAGGCCGAGCTACCTATGCAGTTGAGTGGCAGGTGGGTGAGCGCCCATTGTGAAGTCCGACCAGCTGTGCTTTTCCTTACCAGGTATTTCATATTTCATGGCACCAATCGCACCTGGGAAGGGTACTATTATCACTACTCGGACCCACTCTGCAAACAGCCTACTTTCACCATCTACGCGTCTGGGCACTACACCAAGGGCGTCCCATCCTCCAAAGTGAGAGGGGGCACAGAGCTGGCCTTTAAAGTGACCTATGCTCGGGTTACAGCAATGGATCAAGTAACCGTGACAATGCTAAACTCCTCAGAGCCAGGGACCTGCGGGGAGAGTGGCTCCTGGAGTGCCGGAATGGAGCAGGATATAACGCTGACCGGTGGGTGTCTGGCTTTGGGCCTCAAGTTGCCCCACACAGAGTACGAACTCTTCAGAATGGAGCAAGACACAAAAGATCGTAGTTTGCTGTTCATCGGCAAAAGGCCCACGGATGGATCTAGCCCTGACAGGCCTGAGAAGCGGCCCACCTCCTACCAGGCACCTCTTATTCAGTGTGCCGGAGCTATGGGGATCTTTTCTAAACACAGCAGTCCAAGATACCTGGGGAAAGTGGTTAATAATAGGAACGAAACACTAAAATCTTTGTCTGTGGCCTTTTTATTGTCACTTGTGGCCATGCAGTTTTTAAAATGGGACTAGATGCCGCCGGCTGCTTGCTCAGGTGCAGCACAGAATTCAGACACTCCGGGTGCTAAGACAATCCTCTTTAGATAAGCACATCTGGAATCAGCTTTGCTTCGTTGCTGTGCACATTAAAAACACAAAATGGACAAAGCAAGAGGTTTTCCCCATATAATATGTCTGATTAAGCTATCTGTGAGCATAAGCCTAATGTAGCTTCTTGGGTGTGTTGCAAATTGTCAGGTAATTTAGCAATACTAGAAAGTTGAATTGTAACTGCTGAGTCCAGCTGTCAGCATTGCTAGGGTATAATTGAGGTCTCGGTTCACACACAAGTCAGATTTCTAAAGTTCTGACTACTCATTCTCTCTGCAATTGGCTTTCCCCTGCCTTACTGCTCCTGTAAGCTCATGGAGTTGGCTTTGGCAGGCGTTCTGGATCAGCCACAGACACGCATGTCTTGTCAGTTTGCAGTGATCTAAACTACGTCAGCTAGCATGTGCATACACACACTACCTACCTGTGCTCAGAGATACAAGCTGTCAATAGTTCAGGAAGGGCTCTCGGTGGCAGACTGATGCCATCCTTGCAACCTATAATTCCCAAGCTGTGATTGGTGGATGTATGGTAGTTCTCTTAGGCTCTGGGCTGCAATGGTCCCACAGCTAAGAACCAGTGAGAGACAAGAACCCTGCCTCGGCCCACCTTTTTGTTACTACCTTGTCCCTGCCCCATTATACAGACCGCATAGGGGTTAGGTTCACTCTGTACCACCTCTCTGTGTGCTTACATAGCCCAAATATTCTGAGATGTGACCAGCTGATTTATGACCGTACCACTCACAGGGTGTTAGTGAGGCATCCACATACTATACAGATCCTGTGTTACTTCTGTTCCCACTTTAGTACAACCCCTTGTGCATTTGCTGGCACATCCCCTTAAGAAGAATCATAAATCCAACCCTGGATTAGATCTTCAACATAAAAATGCCACACAAGTGCAAAGATAACAGCTGACAAACATGGCTCAGGTAAATTAATGTTAGGGGTGCAGAAGAGAGACTATAATCAGACACCAGAGTCAACTCCTGGCTAATTTCTGTCTACAAGGAACGCAAGGTATGGAATTATGTTTCCTAGCCTACTGCAGCTAAGAGGACACCTAGCTTGAAGACATTTGATAGCTAAATCCTTTCCACCTTACCTATATATTTTATCCAAAAAGGATTTTAACCAATTATGCAATACTACATTTCTAATATTGCATATGCGAAACTGCCACTGTATGTAAGGCTTGTTTACAAAGACCATATAGGAAGATTAATCTTAATTAACTAAAGGTGTATATGAAGTGGATTAGTTAAACCTGATTGTGAACATCCGTATTCAGAATTAAAGTGGCTTTAGTGTTTAATTTAAATCAGTTTCAAAATGGATTAAGATATACCACATTGTAAAGCCACTTTAATTCTGAACAACAGCATCCATACAAGAATTTAATACCACTGAACTAATCCATTTAAAATTAAACATCTTCAAATATTTTCTGTCTGGCTTCTAGTGGACAAGCCCTGAGACAATTTATGGGTTTGTAAGTCTACAACAACATTTTGGGGGCTGTGTATATTAACAGTTACTTTTTAAATGTATCTAAATCATCTCATTTGATAGTGGTACAAATGATTTTCAGCATGTTACTACATGCCCACCCCATAAAATCTTTTACATAAATAGCTGTACATCTTCCAAAATGCTTTCTCTGTTTAAGGATGGTTGTGTTTTGATGCTTGCTATGTACAAGTATCCAAGATCAAATGCATGCGTTTAAAAAGGACCCAGGTGAGTGATAGTGCAATTACCGTAAATCAAATTTCCGGTACTTTTCTTATAGGTGCAACAGGAACTTTGCGGTTTGCTCAAGCTGTTGGCATATCAAAAGAGAAAGGATCATTTTGATATCCCCCCAAAATGAGTGCGCTTTTTTTTCTTGTGGTTTAAAGGATTAGACTTTTTAGGTTTGTCTCAGTACATGAATCCCTTTTTTCAGCAACATTATTAAATTTTCAACTCAAGAAACTGATCCAGGAGGCCCAGGACTATGTAGCTAACACTTAGATACATAAGGGCTGCGTCTAGACTGGCAAGTTTTTCCACAAAAAACAGGAGAGTTTGGAGAGGGAATTCTCCAGGTAAAAGGAGTACAAATGGGACCCGTGTGGTAAGTGGCTGTCTGGAGTGTGTGTTTGTGTGTGGGGGAGTTATTTGCAGTGTGCTGAGCTTGTGTTTGTCTGGTTGGTTGGTTTGAAGGAGCTTCTAAAAGGTTTGAAATCTAGAAGCCTCTGTTAATTGGCTGAGCCTCAGTCAGGGGGAGGGGCTACCAGAGCTATATAAGCCTGTGACTCAGCGACCAGGGAGAGCGCGACCAGGAACAGGTAACAGGAGAGTTTGGAGAGGGAGTTTAGAGGGCACTAGTGACTTGTGTCCTTCTTTAAAACCTAACTTAGAATAATCTATACTCCAGAAGTTTAAAAAGAATCCCAGTTTGTACTTAAACTTATTCATTACAAACATGGAGACAGAAGCCCAGCAGCAGAATGGGGGCTATCCTGTTTATTGCGTCGAGTGTAACATGTATGATTACCTGCCCTGTGGGCGGGTGGCGTATGTGTGCACCCGTTGCAAGGAGCTCCTGACCCTCAGAGACCAAGTTTGGGCTTTGGAGG